AGGATTAATGTCAACTGACACAAATCGAGTAACAGCCGCACAGAAACTACAGAAAGCGAGCGACGCTGTTTATAAATGGACCACCAAGTGGAAAATTTAATTTAATGAAACTAAATCGACCTATGTTAACTTTACCAACCAAAATTTGACAGATCCCGCAGTAATAAATATTAATGGAACCGGCGTCCCATATGCAAATACTGCGAAATGCCTTGGTATGACTTTGGACACTAAATTAAGATGGAATGAACATGCCAGAAAGAAAGTAAAAGAGTTGACAATAAAAATTGCGCAATGCAATTGGCTGATTGGCAGGCATTCCAAGATGACTTTGTATAACAAACTTTTAATATATAAACAAATTATTAAACCTACATGGCTCTACGGTATTCAGCTATGGCGATGCACAAAAAGCACACACGTAAAAAAAGATTCAAACGGTCCAAAATAAGGCATTACGAGAAATAGCCAATGCCCCATGGTTCGTCAGAAATAATGATCTTCACAGAGACCTTGAAATTCTGACTGTTGAACAGGCAATCAAACGGTATGCAAATAAACACCAAGCTAGACTACAGCTACATCCGAACGAAGAAGCCCGCCAGCTGCTAGATGATCAGAATTTATACCGCAGATTGAAGAGAACTAAGCCCTTTGAATTGATATAGTGTTTTAAGGGCAGAGCATGGTGTGCGTGTAAAAATTGTTAATTTTCTGTGAGGCTAAAACTTGGAAAGTCAAAGGACTGATTTAGTTAACTACCCTAATTTTAAGATTACAGATAAAAACTGATGGTTGGTCATGCTTGACTAGTTTTAGTAAATAATATTAATTAAAAAAAATATTGTTGTAATAAATATCGCCCCTCAAGGTAAAGTTTTTGAACACTTGCTCCATAATGCCGCCAGTGAAAACTAAATTGCCTGTTCTATTGGCTGGCATGAATCCCCACAATAAAACATTAAACCCCATCGTGATTAATTGCAGAGTGAATACTTTCAATTTTTACTAGTGAATTTTTGTTCCTCCAGACTCTTTATCCATGACCATCTGACCCCAAAAAGTTAATCTTTGTTTCATCGCTATAAATAACACTCCCAAAATTGATTGATTTTACTAACGTGTTGTGGGACAAATTTTTTTGCTGAAATTAATAGTTTTCTTCTCGCAACGCGGCCATTGTAACATGCTCGATGTAAGCAGTGTCTTATTGATTGAACACTAACAGCAGTTTTTGAGTACTCTCTAGTATTTCTTTTGCAATTTTTGGAGCACTTATTTTAGAATTACGTCTAATCTTTCCCGCAAAACTCTTTCGCACAACTCTTCCATTGCAGTTAACTTCCTGGGTCGACCAGAGTGAGGCTGTATTCTATAAGAACCGGTAGATTTGTACTGATTTACTACGTGCTGCACAGTGGCATGTTATTTTCCAATTATTGTGCCAATATTTCTAAAGTAGTATTTCTTCTTCCACAAATCTAGGATGATTTTGCGAACAAAAATAGGAATTTCGCAATTCTTAGCACTCGTCAGACACTCGTTTTTATTCTACTACAAAAACACAAACTTTTAAGTGTCACATTTGTAAACAAATATTATTCGTTTGTTTCAGGCGAAAATTAACAAGCCAACTTGATAAACTGTGCTAAGAACTACTGTTACGTCGCCGGGGAAAGATTCTGAATAGCTGTTTGTTTTTCATTGTTCAAATAAAGTGTGTCAAATGAATTTGGCTTCAATTTTATTACCTGTAAGCGAAGCGCCGATATTTACTTAAACCATTTTTGTAATTAAATTGAAATAAAATATCAAACTAAGAAAGAATACTAAAAATCTACTTGTATATGGAGACTTTTTTACCGACTAAATAATGCAATTAACTAGCAAATTGACTATGCAAAGACGACACCTCTTCTGAACATTTCTTCAGAAGTTAATCAGTTCACTGGAGATGAAAGATGCAGATCCTTGCACTACTGATATTTGTTACTCGGGTGTAGATTTTGCAGGAAATTTAAAAATTAAAAGTTTACATCTCCTTCAAAGGTAAAAGTCCATCGGAGTCCGGTGAGCTTGCCGGCCAGAGAATAGCACCTTGATTGCCATTCCACGTATTATCAAAAATTTCCTGCAAAAATGTCTGACTATTGCGGCGTTGTGGGGTGGTGCCGTATTTTACTGTAAAACATGTTCTTTCAACTCTCTATCCCCATTTGATTTATATCTTTTTGGTTTTTTCGTCTCAAATTAACCATCAATTCTGAGATTATACTGCAATCTTGCGAAAATGTTCCTACATGGTTCTCTTGCCTCTGGATGCCGTTTCTCGTACGTTGCGTACCACCTCTGCATTATCCTGAGTTCGTTTGAAGCAAACTGCTATATCCCACTTTTGATCCATCCACTCCCTTTGCATGGGTTTCTGATATATTTAATGAAAAACCTCAAGCCATCATAAAATACCAAAAAACTTTAGAATACTACCTAATTTAAAGCGATGTTGATTTTTTACGTTCATCTTTAAAATTATAAGGTTGGTGAAAATTACAATTCTGCCAAATCGATCGTAGATTTGTAGACCCTTTGATTGACATGCGACCAAAGTTATAATGTACAGACTTTAGTTATTACTTATGTTTAAAGCTCGGATTAAAGGCAAATTGCTTTTTTTTGCCTATTTTGCTTATTTCAAACATTTATTGGAAGTTTTGCCTTTCTCGGAAATTTGTTTCAAGTTTTGCCTTTTTTCAAGCATTTCGGGGCACTTGTTACCGATTCCCGGGAAGGAAGACACCCCGCTAAGCGGTACCTGCGAGAATTGCATGGCAA